ACTGAAGAAGTTGTGACTAGATCGAACCAGTCAACTCAAGAGTTGCAAGTACTTTCTCTCCAGTCTATGGTGGGAATAACTACAAAATGCACTCTGAAGGTTGTTGGTCGAATTGGAGACAAGGAGGTGTTGGTACTCATAGATTCTGGTGCTTCTTGCAGCTTTATTGCTAAAGGGTTGGTGAAGCAATTGGGCTTAACGGTTGTCCCTACTGTTGACTTCGGTGTGTGCATTGGAGATGGGAGAACACTCTCAAGTTCGGGAAAGTGTGAAAATGTTGGCTTGAACATCCAAGGGGTACCGATTGAAGAAGAGTACTTACTGTTTGAGTTAGGGAATCTTGATTTGGTATTGGGATATACTTGGTTGGAGAAGCTGGGAGAGACACGAATCAATTGGGGTCTGCATACTCTACGTTACCAAGTTGGAGATAGTTGGGTTACGATATCAAGAGATCCCTCATTGTTGAAGGCTCAGGTATATCTCAACTCGATGGAGAAGCTCACTAAAAATGATGAAGTGGTCTACTTACTGGAATTGCAAGCATTGTTTGAAAATGTGACGGAATCAGATAAGAAGAGTGTTCCTCGTCCGGCATTTCAGAAGTTGCTATCGAGGTTCAAGTCGGTGTTTCACATGCCACCAGGCCTTCCACCACAGAGGTCTCGGGAACACGCCATCACCTTCCAGTCAGGGACCTCCCCGATTAATCTCAGACCCTACAGGTATTCCCATTTCCAGAAAAATGAGATTGAGAAGTTGGTGAAAGAAATGTTGCAGGCTGGTATATTCGTCCTAGCATTAGCCCGTTTTCGAGCCCTGTGTTGCTAGTCAAGAAGAAAGATGGAGGATTCAGGTTTTGTGTGGATTATAGGGCTGTTAACAAGAGCACAATTCCGGACCGTTACCCAATACCTATTATTGAAGAGTTGCTGGATGAATTAGCAGGAGCAGCAGTGTTCTCGAAGTTGGATTTGAAGTCGGGATACCATCAGATACGAGTTAAGGCTGAAGATGTGGGGAAGACGGCATTCAAAACACATGAAGGCCATTACGAGTTTCTGGTGATGCCGTTTGGCCTCACGAATGCCCCTGCCACGTTTCAATCGGTGATGAATGAGATTTTTAAACCCTACCTGCGGAAGTTTGTCTTGGTATTTTTTGATGACATTTTGGTCTACAGCCAAAATGAGAAGCAGCATCAAGAACACCTACAGATTGTGCTTCAAATTCTGCAGGAGCATCGTTTTTATGCCAACGAGAAGAAGTGTGCCTTTGCACAAAATCGAGTTGCTTACTTGGGACACATCATCACGAAGAAAGGTGTAGAAGCTGATCCTGAGAAGATCGAGGCCATCAAACAATGGCCTAAGCCCAAGAACATTACAGCCTTGCGTGGGTTTTTGGGTTTGACAGGCTATTACCATCGGTTTGTGGAAGGTTATGGGCGAGTTGCACGGCCTCTGACTGATATGCTGAAGAAGGAGAGTTTTGTGTGGACGGAAGAGGCAGTTCAGGCTTTTGAGAGGTTGAAGGTAGCTATGACCAGGTTACCAGTGCTACGCTTGCCCGATTTTTCCAAGCCATTTACAGTTGAGACGGATGCTTCGGGAACTGGCATTGGCGCGGTGCTGTCACATGAGAACCGTCCTATAGCTTTCATCAGTAAAGGTTTTTCGAGTCAAGGAAGGATTAAATCAGTTTATGAGCGGGAGCTGCTTGCCATTGTGTTTGCAGTCACCAAATGGAGATATTATCTTATGGGAAATCAATTCACTATCAGGACTGACCAGAAGAGTTTAAGGCATCTGTTGGAGCAACGAGCTGTTTCTGTTGAGCAGCAAAAGTGGGCTTCGAAGTTATTGGGGCTCAATTACACCATTGAATATCGTCCGGGTAAAGACAATAGAGTGGCTGATGCTCTTTCTCGGCAGAATGATGTTCCAAAAGGAGTTGACAAATTGCTAGCGTTCCAGCTGACAGCGCCATTGTCAATTGATATGGATGAGCTGGCTCTTCAGGTTGCTCAGGATGAGTCTTTACAGAGTATAATCTGTGGTGTTCAAAGAGGGGAGAGTGAGTTTGCTGACTACATTGTGAAAGACAGGGTGTTGTTTAAAGAACAGAGACTAGTCATTCCAGCAAAGTCTCCGTTTATTCCAGCATTAATGCGCCAGTTCCATGACAGTGCGATAGGGGGTCACGAAGGGGTCCTGAAGACTTTCAAACGAATGGCCCGTGAGGTTTTCTGGAAAGGTATGCGTGGTGATATCACTGAGTTTATTAAGTCTTGCGATGTTTGCCAGAGGAACAAGTATTCGACTCTGCCCCTGGCTGGGTTGCTGTCACCTCTGCCTATTCCAACGCAGGTGTGGTCTGATATCAGCCTTGACTTCGTGGAAGGGTTGCCGTTGTCCAAAGGGTTTGATTCCATACTCATGGTGGTAGATCGTTTGTCCAAATATGGGCACTTCATTCCTTTGAAACACCCATTCACTGCAAAATCTATCGCTGATGTTTTTATACGGGAGGTTATCAGGCTTCATGGGTTTCCTGAGACTATGGTGTCTGATCGTAATAGAGTGTTCTTGAGCAATTTTTGGTCCGCGCTGTTTCAGAGTCAAGGTACTTCGTTGCACAAGAGTACTTTGTATCACCCTCAATCAGACGGCCAAACTAAAGTCGTTAACCGTTGCCTTGAGGTGTATTTGCGTTGCTTTGCTGGCAGGAAACCATTGTCCTGGAGTACATGGTTACCTTGGGCGGAATATTGGTACAACACCTCTCACCATTCGGCGTCCAAGACCACCCCTTTTCGTGCCCTCTACGGTCGTGATCCTCCCAGGTTGTTACGTTTTGGGGATATTCCGTCTGCCAATGCTGAGGTGGAGAATATGATTCAGAGTAGGGATTCCCTGTTGAGTGAATTGAGGGATAATTTGGCTGCTGCTCAAGTGAGAATGAAGGTGTCTGCCAATAAGAAACGCAGAGACTTGGAGTTCGAGGTAGGTGACTGGGTCTACTTGAAGCTCAGGCCGTACCGTCAAACAACAGTGGCTAAACGTCGGGTTGAGAAGTTGGCTCCGCGTTTCTTCGGTCCGTATAAAGTGTTGCAGCGTGTGGGGAAGGTGGCTTATAGGCTTGAGCTTCCTGCTCATAGTCTTATTCACCCTGTCTTTCATGTCTCTCAGTTGAAACAAGCTGTAGAACCCACTGATCAGGTTCAGGAGCTCCCTTTAATCCTATCTTCCTCCTTGGAGTGGAATGCTGAGCCGGAGTCGGTTTTGGACATTAGGAAGTCGCACGGGGGTAAGACAGTGGAAGTTTTGGTTCGTTGGAAGGACCTGCTGGAGTTCGAGTGTAGTTGGGAGCCTGTTCAGCGGTTGAGAGAGTTGTATCCTGAGTTCCAGCTTGAGGACAAGCTGTGTCTTCTTCGGGAGGGTATTGATAAGCTAGCAGTGCCTCTAGCATTTATTCAGACGAAGAGTAGGTCCAAGAGAGTGAAGAAAAGTGGCTAAGTGAGAATAAGAAGTGTAGTAGAGAGACTCTGGCGGGAAGAGAAGGTTGCCTAGTCTCATTTCGAATAAAGCTTATGCGTTGTCGTTTCATTAAGTTTGTATTATATAATCTTGAGTTCAGATACATTTGGGGATATCAAATGATCAGTTATCAAATATTCCTTCTTATCTTAGTCTCTTTCTCTCTCTNTGGCGGGAAGAGAAGGTTGCCTAGTCTCATTTCGAATAAAGCTTATGCGTTGTCGTTTCATTAAGTTTGTATTATATAATCTTGAGTTCAGATACATTTGGGGATATCAAATGATCAGTTATCAAATATTCCTTCTTATCTTAGTCTCTTTCTCTCTCTACCTTATCTCCCTAATCTCTGGATAAGCTCTTGCTTATCACAAACCTTTTTGTTGTCAAGCTTGAAATGCTGCTGATTCTGACTCTTATGTTATTGAACAGGTTAACCGTGTTCAATATCTTCTGATCATGATTGATCGAGCTCTCATTGAGTTTTGCGATGATGCTTAAAGACTCAGAGTGAAGAAGTCATTAATCACACGCTAAGTTTGTTTCTGGAGTTAGTATCTGGGTAACTCTGAATATACTACTTTTCTTTCCATCTGTGTTAAGTTTCCTCCTCGTACCTGCTTTTTGTATGTTTTGATACAATGCAACAACAGACGCAGAATCTCTATAAGATGAATAGTAATAGCTTCTTGGGGAGAGAACGCCAGTTGTAGAGAGACCGAAAGAGGTGAATGTGAAACCCCGGCAGACTGTTAACAGTCCAATACCCACGGTGTCGCAGGAGAAGGTTAATCACGCTTCAGGATGCAGCAGCTTTTAAGCTCGCGGAGGTAGAAAGATTATTAGAATCGGTCAAATGAGCTGCAGAAGAGAGAGATAGGATGATAGAACTGGCAGAACAAGCTGAGATTATTCTACTGCTAGCGGAAGAGTTCACGAAGCATGTAAGTTTTAACAATGGCACAAGTCTCAATGTTGTTCTATCTAGATTTTGGTGTCTGAGCTTTGAGATTTGTTTCGTGGGTAGGTTCTCGGAGAAATATTGTGGAACTGAATTGGGGTTGATGGAACAAAAAAAAGAAGCAAGCACAGAGTGAGTGAGCCTTTGTTTTTTTTTTGGTATATATACTATTAGTAATAGGCTTAGGCTGTTAGCTTGCACAAATAACACATACGTTCTTTTTCTTGGGTTCAGGCTTAGCCTCTTCAACCAAATTAGGTGCTAATGTTCTTGCTGTGATACTGGTAAAACTTTTGTTTGTTAAAGATTATTCATGTCTGTGACAATGATTCCTCATCTCATTAATTTAATGCTCTATAGGAGCTTCTGATATTAAAGTTGAATAATTTTTACAAGAAAGGTGATGAAAAAACCATATTAATAGATGTAATCTTAAAGCAAGAAGTTTTTAAAAAAGAAAAAAGAGTGCAGAAGTTGCTAGATTGTTACTTCAGACTATGATGTCAGCAATAATTGTTATCCATGAATTTCACAAATCCATAGAAATCAATTCTTCCATCTTTGTTTCCGTCAAATGATCTAATCATTCTCCTGCAGTTCTCAAGGTTAGATCCTTGCTCTAAGCCAAGGATGGTCAAAACTCTCTGCAAATCTACTGGATCAAGAAACCCATCTCTGTTTTCATCAAAGACATCAAAAACTTGCTTCAATTCCTCCAAGCTCGGCTCTTTCTCTTCAAACAAGTTGGAAAGTTCCTCAGAGCTGTAACGTTTCTGAAGCCCCTCGCTTTCTGAGTCGGTGAGTAGTCCTAAGCTTTTCATCACCATCTCTGCATCTTCTCCGAAAATACCATCTTTATGTTTGATCGAGCTCTGGACCTCAAGATCTTTGCTCTTCTTGTCGGTAACACATTGCTGGTGTTGAAGAAGATCTGAGCGAAAGAAACCCATTTGAAAAAGCTGATGAGGAAAAAATCGATTAGACAAAACAAATGATTTACGGTTATGATGTAGTATAATCCTTTTTGTGGCACAAATTATGATGTACTCATCTAGCGAAGGAATGCATTAAAATGTAATACCACTTTTATTCTAACGCATACTGCCGCAAATAAGTGTTATTATGAAAACTAAGTTTCCGAACATTTTTCATAGTAAGTTCAAATTAATATGCACATTGAACTACGTGTCTGTGGTCGGGTGGTAACATGGCGTTCCATGGATCCTACGGGACCTGAGTTTGAATTCGCCTACACTCAGATTAATCCAGCATGTGACCATCGGGGCTTTCATATTCTCTCTCCTAGGAATGGTTTACCCGTTTTTAATATGCACATAAGTTTCTTTTTTTTTACATCATCACTTAAAAACACATTTAAATTAAAAGTATTTTTTTCTAATTTACTTCTATGTTTATTTTCAAATAATACATATATTCTTTGACTCATCTACTTCTAAAGAATAATTCTAAACTTGCATTTGTCAAAAACTTAACAATAGCGGACAAACACAATATAAATCAAAATGATCATTAAATAGAGTTAAACATATTCATATTATATATTGAGATCCACTCAGAATTTTTTTGTGTAACAGTTTGGATGTGGTTTCAGATTTTTGGTTCAGGTTAAGGTCAAGGTTTCAGGTTGAGGTAAGAATGTCCAGACCTAATCGAGGGTATGAAGATAATTAATATTTATCGATGATATGAAGATAATGATAACCATCTACAAAAGAGTTTTGTTTTAATTTTTTTGTATGTGTATATTACTCTTTGTAAATGTTGGGATCAAAATCGGTACGACAGAATCAATGACCAAAACTTTCTGCAAAAATAAAAATACGTTTTATAAAACACAAGAAGTTGTTTTATACAATTCTAAGGAATTTCATATTGATGATGGAGGGACTGCTTATAGTGTTGATATGGATTTGAAAACATGTGGATGTCTCAAATGGCAGCTCAGAGGCATTCCATGTATTCATGCCTCTTGCATGATCACTGTAAAAAAGTTAGAAATGGAAGATTTTGTGTCCAAGTTTTACACCAGTGACATGTGGAGAGTAACCTACTCTAGGGGTATTAAACCGGTTCAAGGAATGAAAATATGGCCTAGGATGAATAGGTTACCCGTTTTGCCACCACCATATAGACTAGGCAATCGTGGTAGACCAAGCAACTATGATAGGCGAAAAGGAGCAAATGAATCTTCCTCAAACCAAAAGACCAAGCTTGGACGAGAAAGGCGTTTGGTGACATGTTCTAATTGCTTAGACACAGGCCACAACAAATTCGCATGTGTAAATCCGACAGCTGAAAGGGAACCATAGAGGCCAAGGGGTCGGCCAAGGCTTCAATATGTGGTATAATTTACTTTCTAAGTTTCAGTTTTTATTGTTGACAACATGTTTGTTTTTGCTTACTCTTTCAATTTTTATAGGAGGAGCCAACACAAGGATTTTACCAAGGTCTTTCTCAAGACCAATCACAAGCTTGATCAAGTGTGATATCGGTTATAATGACTCACGGTATTCATCTCTTTTGTTATGTCAAGAGTAAACTACTATATTTGTGTTATGAGTTTTTTTATGTAGTGGTTCACATCCTTAACTCTTTTGTTATGTAATGTTTCAGAACTCTATTTTATATGTTCCTTTTTATGTATTGGTTCTAAACTCCACGTTATGTAATGGTTAACAATCTTTTTCTTATCGTTTTATCATAACCAAAACACCAGTATAAGAAAACCAGCAACATGGTCTAGGAAAAAAACACAGTTTTTTTTCCAAAAGTTACCATGAACAACAGCCTAAACATCATCAATAACTGAAGTACATCTTTACAATCTCACTACATGTGCCTTTGTTGGGAAACTTACGAGACTTATTTGAACCCATGATAAAGAGGAAAAAAGAAATATTTTTGTAATTAATAAGTCACCAAAACTCACCGTTTTCTAATTAACAGAAGTTTTACGTATACTTAATGTTTGACTTCGAGATGGTTAAAAAGGCAGAGTCAACAGAAGTATAAGATTAATTTGGGTAAATTTTAAAAGTTTAGGAATTATTTGGCTTGCTTAAAAGTTGGAAATTTTTGTGCTTATTTTCAAAAGTTTGGGATTTAAATGGCGTTTTTCCCTTATTTATGATCATTAAGCTACTCTTTTAATATTTTTAAAAAATAGTAAACACTTAATAATCACTAAGTTTTTCATATTTTTAAAATAAAGTGATCCCAATCCAAAAATATCATTAGAAAATATGATTTAAACCTAAACTATTTATTCACTTATTCGCGGAGAAAGAATCTAGTATATTTAAAACTAGGGATCCGCTCTTCGCGCGGAATTTGATTATTTGTACGAAATATTGTGATGTTTGGTTGTAATTTTCTGGGTTGTGTTGTTATTTGTTCTGGGACTGTGTTTTGCATGTTAATTTTGTAGCTGGTGTAGTTTAAACTGCGGCATTAAGAGTGGGGCAAATGGCCATGTTCATTCTTTATGAAGGAAGGTCGTGGAGTGTGTGGCCGTTGAACAATCTTCCCAGCTAGTAACCTTTAGAATTTATGTTAAAATCCTTAGATGTTTTTAAGTTGCTGTTAACCATGGCTGTGGCTTTAAAATCTGGGCCATAGTTCCATTTTTGGAGACGACTTCTCAATTGTTTAACCCGTCTATCATGCCTTGTATAATGGGCTGGGATCTTTTGAGTTGCCGTTACAATTGGGTGGTGGGGATTCATATTGAAATAAAATGTGGTCATTGTAGAATACGATTAGTTGTGGGATTATTTGGAATTTTAAGGTCACTATGATATTTTCAGTGGTCTTTGAAGCTTTATTCAGCATATGTATGGGTGGACTCCTTTTTAAAAATAAAAATATAACCACTACTCATTAGTGTATTTATATTGGTCTAATAGCTACGGTTTAGGTTTGATGGTTCTAAGTTATAAGCCTTCATTTCTGATTTTGTTTCCCGTGGCTTAGAGCATCCCCATCAGTGAACCTGATGGGGATAGGTTCATAGGAATAAAAAATATATTTTTTTTTTTTTACTTTTTCAAAAAAAAAAAAAAAAATTGGCGAATCACAGCTCGCCACGTGGCGAATCCGTGACGAACCGGGTTCACCACAACGAACCCACGCGCGCCGGATTCATCACTGTTCCTCTCGGAAAACGTGTGAACTCCCCCTTAGAACCCCTAATGGGGATTCTCTTAGTTCTTGCAGGTAGTCGTTAGCTTTGAGTTCATGCAAAGTTGCTCCCATGGGCAGCCTGTTTGGGGAGGTAGGTAAATATGTAGCGTTGGAGGGTGTGTTTATAATTGTTAAGTTATGTTTCTCAGTGGCTTTGTAGTGGGATTTTCCTTAGTTTAAGGTCGTTGGGTTTGTCATTACGCATTTGATGATGGTGTTGTAAGGTGGACGCCTATTGTTTTTTTTGATTGTGGGAAAATTCGTTTATATGACCCCATGGTTTATGTGCCCGGCTGTCCGAATGTTACCATCAAATGGGGGTGGATAAAATAGTCACAAGTGTTTGATGGGATCCTTTGTTTCTTGGTGTCGCTATCTAAAATGTATACCATCTTTTTTAATATCAGTGGTTTGCGTTCAGTGCTTAGCTACTTTGTAGTTTTCTTGTATTAAGTTACTGTTGATTCTTGATTATCCCACTTCGGTACTGTTCAAGCTTGTTTGGGGATTCAGAGACCACTTTCATAACCATGATCTCAAGCTCCACATGATCAGTTATTTGCAGTATATATCACTCATAAAGCAAAAATCATTTACAGTACGGTAAATCTAAAATATATTCTCAATGAGCTTTCAAAATGTCTTGCAGCAAACTAAAATACGTTTTTCTCTGAATAGCATATACTTGCCTAAACCAAGTCTTTTGCTTTTATCTTTCTCTGGACAGTTCCAACATTGGCAATAGCTCAAACAACACTGCAAAATTGGAATAAATAACACTGATCCAATTACATTGACATCATTTGCAAGGAATCTCTTAGTCAAGCCCAATTTTTTTAATTCTAGATGTCGTTAGCTGAAAGATACTTTTAGCATAATATCTTTCTTTATAGTTGACGCACAAAAAAATAATCACAAAGTAAACAATAGAAAATATAATTAGAATACCAAAAAGAAAGGTCACAAACTATTTCATATTGGAAGCCTAGTGTTTTTAACGTTTTTTATCATGTAGGCCCACTACCTCGGATGCTCCCAATGTATTCTTGGAAGAAATAGCTCTGCAAAATATTGGTAATCAGTGAGCCTTTTTTTTTCTTCATTGCTACTGTTTTCTGAACATATTGCAACGTAATGAAAGATTATTTAGCTTACTACCTGATTTACTTCTTCGCACAATCTAGCCTTCTTGGCCCTGGTTGTAGTAGAGACGTGACTGTCTTGATAAATCTCATAGTCAACTTTCCTGCTAAATAGCTCTCGAATCATCAACCATATTCATTAGAATGAAAATAGTATGAGTTGATCATATCCCGTCTTTGTTTAAAATAAGAATATACAAACGACAAAGAACGAAATAAACACGTTGACCTTGGTCTCAAACTTAGCTTGACTAACTGGATGATGGATTGAGATATTAACATCACAACGAAGAGGTCTTTTGCATATTCACATCATTCACTCCCAATACTTTTTGCATATTCACATTACTGACTCCCAAATACCTAACACTTCACTGCATCAAGCCCATTATCCATATGAATTTCAGATACAATCTCGAGCAAAAGAAGTCCTTCTCTGTTCATATCTACATGCAACATAAGAGAAAAAACATTAAGATAGAACCAATGGATTGCTTCGTGGAATGAGTGAAGCCGATAATGGTAAAAGCTTGGCCAGACAAAAACTTGCTCCATATCTCAGAAAAAAAATCTACTCAGTAGTAAGCCTGATAGAACCAGGAAATGAAACCAATCCAAGGATCTACACTGAGATCAATCGAAATCAATCCACACAAAAGCAACATAACCAATTAAAGAAAAGGCAACAGTCAACTCAACTTAAATTAGAAGCTTGTGAATTCAGAATCGAACAAATATGAGAAAGAAAAAACAAAACAAATTGATAATCTAAATCACAGTCACGAAGAGACAGATCTGCGGTAAAATACCTAAGAGCCAAGAGGCATAGCCGTTGCTGGCGATGGAAAGAGACGGAATCCAGAGCTTCCACAATCCATATCTTTACTTTCCAAAACATATACGCAAGAATATGATTTCATAGCGTCTTTGCTTGATCTCATTGGTCATACACATAATATACCCTTCTAAGAACAATAACAGTATAATACCATACACAACAAAATAAACTGAAATTTGGTGGAGCGATTGATGTAAAGATACCATATGATGTGTACAAAGTTTAAGTCTAGTTTGGTTCTACTCGATTTAGTAACAGTAAGAAAAAATGGATTCACGAAAGTAACGAAAGGAATCGCTTCGATGGAAGGAGAAAAGATGGCGAAGAAGAAGAAAAACATCTGCATACGGGCCTCTAAAAACATTTCTAGTTGGGCTGCGATTTTCTTGCCAGGCCCAGCGAGATTGAAAATCGGCCAACCAAAGCTTGACATGTGTTATCAAACCCCATATCAAAAATGTGACATGGCTGATTGTGGGGACAGATAAGTGAGTTTTATTATTATAGATTACTATTTCTATGCACGGTGTATGAAAACTGTTAATTTGATATAATTTTAAGGATGTGTTCCTTTAATAAAATAGTCTTGTAAGCGGTGGTTGAATCTTTATCAATTCTGTTTATTTACGCCGGATCGCCCGATGATAGAAAAGAAAAATTCAAGGATCGTTTGTCTTGTATTAGATGAGTAATCCTTGGGGTATAAATAGGAAAAGCGAAAGATATAACGAATTTATGTAATTCCTGAATGTTTGTGGGAAGATTTACAAAATTTAAGCGTATAGAGAGCAGGCGCGTTGGGGGGGTGTCAATCTTACCTTCTTCCTCTGTAGACTTGTTCGTTTTTCTCTCTTCGATTTTTCGTCAATCGATCAAATTTGTGGAAGAGCATAATTTCACTTTTTCTGCAACCTTAATTTGCACTCTCTCTGAGTTCGTTCTTCTTCTAGAATCTGAGGTGTTGTCCTTTTCTATTTATATGCGCGGTTCCGTAGATAGTCGTGTCCTCTGTGAAATTAGGGTTTACTCTAAATTCTTAAATTTACGTAAAATCGACATGGGTGAATTTCGGTTCTCACAGTTTAGCGCTAGAAGGAGGGGGGGGTCAGATTTATCTTACACTCAAGCCGCAGCACGCTCAATCAAAAAACGATGTCTGAAGAACATCCAACTCGCGTCGATAGCGACAACGTTGACAACACACCAACTTTAGATGTTCCCGCGGTTAACGCTAACACTAACGCCAACACCGAGGCCGTCGAGAAGATGCTCTCCGATTTCAACAAGAAATCGGAGAAACAAGAAAAGCTCATTGGTTCACTCGTAAAACAGGTGGAAACCTTAACTGCGAGAAACAGGGAAATTTGCCCCCGCGGAACTACTAGGATCCGCGGAAGAAGGTTAAATTTTGGGACTTCTTTGGATCGTCCTAGAACCGAGCAAGGAAATCTGCCAGAGCAAAACTCCGAAAAAGATAACCCTGATGCGACGCTGAACGAATGGGACAAATCTCCTACTCACAGACATGAGACCGAAGAAGACAGTGTCGAAAAGGATAACTTAGAAACGAGCGAACAATCTGATTCATCGGATGAGGACGCAGACGTCCATCCGCGGAGAAGGAAGGATCGCATCCCTCAGCCGGAATCCTCTCCCGAGCGTTCTCTTACTGAGGACGAGGAGGAGCTCTACTGCGTGCAACGCGCAAAAACGGCCGAGGAACGATCTCAAGTTACTCGCAGAAAGGCCGACGAAATCAGAAAACTGCTGGCGAACTAAGAGAGATTCGCGATCTCCGCGACTACATTAATAAAACGGCCGCATCGATAAAAGCGGTGAAATCTCAAAGTCACCATGCTACCAGCGCTGCGCCCGAAATAGATCGGCTGTTATATGAATCTCGGAGAATGCCTTTCACGGCTCACATCACCGAGGTCAAGCTACCCGATCCTAGAAAACTCAGAGTGCCAACCTCTTATGGGACGACCAATCCCAAAGCGCACCTGCAGGCCTTCCAGATTACCATGGGACGAGAAAAGCTCAAGGATCACGAAAAAGACGCGGGCTACTGCCGTCTTTTCGTCGAGAACCTAGAAGGAGCGGCACTCGAGTGGTTCGCCAAGCTTAAGCAGAATTCAATCAGGAGTTTCCGCCAGCTTGCTTCCGGATTCCTGAAGCAATATTCGATGTTTATAAATCGAGAAACTACCGACGCCGACCTCTGGACCTTATCCCAGAAGGAAGACGAACCTCTCCGCAACTTCATGAGCAAGTTCAAACTTATCATGGCTAGGGTTAGCGGAATAAGCGAAAAAGCCGCCATCGATGCGCTCAGAAAATCGCTCTGGTTCAAGTCAAAGTTTCGAAAGTGGATAACTCTCGACAAACCGCGGACGATCCAGGACGCGCTCTACAAAGCTACCAATTACATTACCATTGAAGAGGAGACTAAAATCCTGTCTGAGAAGCATAAGCCATCGAAAGCATCCGCAAAGGACATCGCATCCGAGCAGAAGCCGAAAAAGAAAAACCCTCGTAACGACAAATACGTCCATCACGAGGGGCAGGATCTCCAAGGGGCGCACAACTACGCCATCAATTCCGGATCAGAACAAGGGAAAACTACATGGAACACGTGGTCAAAGAATCCGAATTACGATGAAGATTCCTTCTGCGATCTCCACCAAACTCGTGGACACTCTACCGTGAACTCCAAAGTTCTCGGACGAGAAACACGGACGAGAAACACGGACGAAGACATGACGAAAAAGGTAACGACGCTAACCGCCAGAAGATCAATATGATCATCGGCGAATCGCAATGCTACAGCAATACCATCTCTTCTATCAAGTCCTACCAACGAAAAGACGAAACCAATTCGAGTTGCTTTCGATGACACGAAAACCGGAGGAATCGATCAGCCACACGCCGACCCTCTCGTCATCGACTTAGGCATAAGTGACTTAGAAGTCGCTCGAATCCTGGTCGACACCGGAAGCACTATAAACATAATCTTCCGCAACACGTTGCCACGCATGGGAATCGTATTTATCAGATGTCGAGCCAATACCAAAGCCGTTGACCAGTTTCTCCGGCAAAATGTTTATGACCCTAGGATCGATCCGGCTTCCGGTCGCCGCGAAAGAAGTGACAAAAATCGTCAACTTTGCAGTCGTCGCTTCCCCAGCTATCTACAATGTGATCATGGGCACGCCTTGGATAAACTCCATGAAGGCGGTTCTGTCATCATACCAATTAGGCGTCAAGTTTCCGACCCCTTATGGGAGTCGTGGCATTTTGGGGATGCCAAATACAATCGCGATCTTGCTTTTTAGCTGACATAAGCTAAGGCAATTGGCGGTTGCAATCGTGAAACTGAAACAGGCGAAGTTCACGCTGCTGCCAACGAAAAATGACCCGAAACCAGCAACGGTCGAGAAGCAACAAGCCTCCGAACCCATCGCTTCTACCCAACCGGAGGAGACAAACCCGAACCAAGACGCCGATCCAACGACTAAAGCGATCGAGAAGTCTGCGACAGCCGAGTAAAACCACTCGCACCAACAATCAGAACTACGAGATGGCTTGATTTCCGAAAGGAATACGTAGGCAGATCGCCTAAAGACGAGTTTAGATATCCCCCTTTCCAAAACGGGGGGGAGTGGGTGCGTATACGAGTATTCGTATACTCCTAAGTTTTAAAATATTCGCTTTGTAATTGAAATTTTTGAAACTTTGTAATAAAGACAAAATTAGAATATTATAGAATCTCTCTACTATCGAAAATCGTAAAAACAAATTCCAAACATCCGGAAATTACTTCCACAGTAACAACTACTAAATCGTTTCGAAAAAAAAACTTATACACCAAATATTTTCAAAAAGAACCGGCGAGACATCACCTAAAGTCTTAGAAAAATATTTCGCAAAAGTCCCTCCCCGACTATAAAATCACAAACGCTCGGCGATTGGCCCCGTCGAGCACGCTAGGCGATTGGCCCCGTCGAGCACGCTAGCCGTCCTAAACAAACGTACATACCCATTGGTCCGCATACATCTGCCTAGGATAAAATAGCGCGCTATAAAAGAAATCCAAATTTTTGGTCAGCACGTCTTGGAGGCTTAAAAAATTTCCCCGGTGAGATGCTCGATTCCAACCAGACGAATCGTATAAGCCGAGAACCTCTCATGGATTCTAAATCGGTATGGAATCAGGTTAAAATCGCAACAGGCAAAACAAAAGTCGGCTAGTCATCGCATAGCCTCAATCCGAAAGTAAACCTAGGTCTTGCCTTAAACCCAGCACACTAGTCTCTAACGTCTCAAGGCATGAATCGAGATCCTAGAGGCATGTCTCTTCGCCCACATCTAAACACTCGCGAAAAACTGAAAAATTCTGAGCAAACGAACCGGATGATCTACATCAAGAGTTAGATGCGAGACGACAACTCGTACTCTTCCCTCTACATCTAAAACGAAACACAGATTTCATACTTAAAAAATATCCTTATTAATATTTTTCGTTCAAATACACGCTGCCGAGCGGAAATGATTCAAAGCCACCAACGGTCAGTCCCGGTAAACACTACAACAATATCATAAAACAAAGACATCATACATCAAAATCACAAAACCCGGACGCCGAGCTTTGGCCAACATTAGCATCAACCAACGGCTGATAACCTTTGCCACTCGCATCTGGATCTCTGGCCCGACCTCTACCGAATCCGGCGACACAACAATAAGAGTCCATTGCTCCCACATTTCGCACCCTAAAATCAAAGAGTTTGGGCTGCATATCTCTCTTCCCATTCAAACAATCCATCTGCTCTGGAAACTCTTTGGCATACGAGTAACCCTCATTCTGAGTAAGAGACTACCCGTGAACGACACCGCGACACTCGAGATAATCGCCATTGGCCCATTGAGCAACCTCAACATTCGAGTAACTGGTCGCAAATCGTTCACGGCGAACCCTCGCTTCCTCAGCAACCTCTCTTTTGCCTGCACGGCGATCACGATGAACTCTCTGATCAGAAAGCTCCTTAGCACGACGAGAGTTAGCCGTGCATTTGCTCTTCACGCGAGTGACCTCCTTCTCAACCAATTCTTCGGCAGGATTGACATCAATCTCCGCCCGAAGAAGAGCAACTTCTTTTTCCGCCATGTACGCACAAAACTCAGCAAGACGGGCTTCAGTGATGCGATCATTCAAGGCTCGACTCATAGTCAGAAGGCCCTGTGAAAAGAAAGATGAAAGGATAAGCGAAACTATTCAATCATAAGTCATTAAAAATAAAACAGACCTCATTAGTTTGCTCGGATGCTTTGGAAAACTCTGGAACATAGCCAAGATCGCCATCCGAGAAATTAGAAGTTGATGATCCGCATGCACGTGCCCAAACGCCTTCGTTTACCTGACTATCAAGGAAGCGGTGCGGATGTATCATCGTCAACGACCACGTGTTTATCTTTTCGGGATCTTGACTTGTTCCTCCTCGTTGGGGACGTGTATGGGACGAATTATGCTATACGCGGATCCTCTTCGAAAACCAAAGAGTGCCCAACGAACATGCTGCGAAGAAAAACTGTTCCAGCTACCTTCCCCGTTTTGAAGGGAAGCAATAACGGTAAAAAAATCCGCTGGAAACGGAGGCAGAGGGTTGGTCTCTGCAGAAAACAAAAACAAATGAGTAAAAAAAAAATTTCTAAGATCATACGCACTCGGATCACGCACCTTTCCGACCCCATTTGGTCACGAAAAAAGAAATGCAGTCCTCCTCCACTGATGCACTGTCGGTACGAACATATAAGAAGTTCTTCTTCCAAGAAGGGTAGTTCGACAAGCAACCAGTGATTATTTCCTTGCGAGGCGATAAGTTAATCCTTCGTGTCGTCTCCTCGGGTTTCAGTAAACCTTCGAGGTGATCAATGCTAAGGATTATTCCTTGCTCGTACTCAATTCAAAAGACCAACGAGTTGTTGCAAGATGCATGGGGTCAATTGGCTAATCGATAGCCCAAGTTGGTGAAGGTATCGAACAATGATCTCCGGAATCGGAAACCACAAATTGCATTGCATTAAAAATACGTCGTACCATTTGAAAAAGCCATCGGGTGCAACTTTTTTACTCTCTCCAGCTAGTGGAAGGTGAAACTCTACCGCCTCTGGAACTCGGCAAAACTCTCGAATAGAGTAGAGACCATTGGGAGAGACCAAACTCGGGCATCCGGCAATCCGATCAGCATGGAATGGAGGGGGAACCCAGGTTCCAGGTGCTGGGCCTCGTGCCACCTCCAGCCGCCCAATATGCTTCGGCATCTTCCGGATTAACCAATGGTATAGAAAATTCCTCTTTCGGAACCACGACACGAGGCTGTGAGTTCGTTCCTTCGGAACCACGACGATCAGAACTGGTTTCGGAACGAGTTCTTCTCTTTGAAAACATGTTTAGTAAAAATGAGAGAAAGAGATTCAAAGGGAAAGGAAGAGAGAAAACTTCTTGAACCTTAGAAAAGTTATGGAAGGAAGTGAGTAAAGAATTTAAACTTTACTCCATATATTGTAAGAAAAAGTTTTACTATTCACCTTTGGACTTTTGTCCATTAAGTTCCGCCTAATTCTACTAAACTTGCAAAACAAGTTCGAACCGCTTGCAAGAAATCCACGATTCTTACGAGCTGGGGGCTAATTGTTGGGGTCAAAATCGGTACGACAGAATCAATGACCAAAACTTTCCGCAAAAATAAAAATACGTTTTATAAAACACAAGAAGTTGTTTCATAAAATTCTAAGGAACTTCCGAACAAAGGAAATCCGCGGAAAACTTGGAGATCGTCATCTCGGAAGAACAAACGAAACAATCGCCGATTTCACGATTGCCCAAGTTAAGCGAAAAAATGCAAAAAACTGCATCCGCCGTAAACCGCGAGCAGGTTCGACCGAACCAGTTCAACGTACGACGAGCCAAACCAGCCGGTTCAGCTCGCCGTACGACGAACTGCTCGGTCCCGAACCAGCTCGCTATACGGCGAGCTGAACCAACCTGGTTCGACTCGCTGTACGTCGAGCTGATCGTCCCGAGCCTCGATCTCCGCATCCTTGACATAAGGAATACGTCCTTTGATTCGATCATGCTCTGAACCATGGTCGAAACGTCTCTCATTTCGTCTCGATCCGTCTCACCGTTCAAGTTTTACGATAAAAATCGTAAAAATCTTCTTTTCTCGTAAAGTTCGGGAAGATCGTATAAAACGACAATGATTAGTTGGAACATCGTACATTGTCAAAATATACGATTAACTCAAGAAATCTTATAAAAATGACATCGTATCAGGAAACGATCTCGTCTAAAATCGTAAAACGATTTTTATCGCAAAACGGCTCGGACAGCCTAAAAGCGCGGTAAAAGCTCACTTGCGACTTTAAACGAAATCCAGCCCAAAGATACAGTGACGGTTTGACGATTTACTCGCAGAAATAAGATAAATGTCAAGTTTGAAGATAAATAGAAGATTTCCGCAAGAAAAATGGAAAGATCGAGACAAATGGAAGATTCTCGATAAACTCGGATCTGGGCGAAAAGGAAGGACTAAACCGCCTAAGGAGGGAGTATATAAGCAGAAGGCGAAAGACATAAGAATATGACGAGTTTTCAGAGATTTCACCACCAAAACTTAGGATTAGGAAACTTTCCATTTTTTGTTATTGAGCTGCGTCTCAACTAGGGTTTTTAGTCTTAGGTTATTAGAACTAGGGAACTCGCCGACAGCTCTTATAGCCATAAGGCGAAGGACATAAGAATATGACGAGTTTTCAGAGATTTCACCACCAAAACTTAGCATTAGGAAACTTTCCATTTTTTGTTATCGAGCTGCGTCTCAACTAGGGTTTTTAGTCTTAGGTTATTAGAACTAGGGAACTCGCCGACAGCTCTTGTAGCCAAGACTTACTCTCGTTGTACCACTCTTACGAAGAATTCAGAATAAGATCCTTCTCGCTGTCAATCTTGTTTTTTACTTCTTTTACTTATTCATATCGTGTTCTTGATTGCTTGTGTGCGGTTCTGCAGATAGCCGGGTCCTCTGGAAAATTAGGATTTACTCTAAATTCTTAAATTTACGTAAAATTGACAGGGGTGAATTTCGGTTCCCACAGTAAATTTGTTTATTAAGTTAACAATTATCTTCGCATTGAGGCCTTGTGCTATATAAAAAATAATGTATAGGTATCTAATTAATTTTGAGTTACGTAATTTATTTTTTTACCAATTTCAGGCAATTTTTTATACGGTCCACATCGCAACTCTATCTTCTGTTCTTTGAAAGAAATAATCTATTTCTTACATTATTTATGATCGTTAAGCTACTCTTTTTATTTTTTATTTTTAAATAGTAAACATTTAATAATTATTAAGTTTTTCATATTTTTAAAATAAAGTGATCCCAATCCACAAATATCATTAGAAAATATGATTTAAACCTAAACTATTTAAAATTACTATTTCTATGCATGGTGTATGAAAACTGTTAGTTTGATATAATTTTAAGGATGTGTTCCTTTAATAAAATAGTCTTGTAAACGGTGCTCGAATCTAATCAATTGCGTTTATTTATGCCGAATCGCCCGATGATAGAAAATAAAAATTCAAGGATCAGTTTTTCTTGTATTGGATGAGTTGTCCTTGAGGTATAAATAGGAAAAGCGAAAGATATAAGAACACCTCCAATGGAGGTCTTTAGGGGAGAATTCTTAGAAAAAAAAATTAAATAATTAGTAGACTTCACAAAAAGTTAAGGATTCGATCCTTAAAATCCCTAAATAAGGATTGTTTCTTGGCGAATCCTTACATTATTTACGGATCTCCAGAACACGTGACAATCCGTGAATGATATGTTTTTTTTTTTTTTAAGAAAAAAATAATTAAAATATTATTACCAAATCCGAAATACTTTTTTTCCTAAAGACTCTATGAGTCACGTTGGGATGTTTTATGTGATTCTTGAAAGTTTGTGGGAAGAGTTACAAAAATTTAAGCGCGTAGAGAGCAGGCGCGTGGGTTGTCAATCTTACCTTCTTCCTCTGTAGACTTGTTCGTTTTTCTCTCTTCGATATCTCGTCAATCGATCAAATTTGTGGAAGAGCATAATTTCTCTTTTTTCTGCAACCCTAATTTGCACTCTCTCTGAGTTCATTCTTTTTCTAGAATCCGAGGCGTTGTTCTTTTCTATTTATATATGCGGATGGATTGTGTAATCCCCTTGTAAAAAAACAAACCCTAGCTCTCGTAGACCTCTAGATTTGAGGTTATTTGTCGATTCGAAAGTTTTGGAACGGATGACGAGATTAGTCCTTCTTCTGACTTTAGGATGAGCTTGCTTTGTTTTCTTTTTTGTTGGATTTAAGGTTTAGGTTATCCGGAGATTCCACCATTTCTGTTGGAAAACCTTAGAAAACAAAAAAAAACAAAAGTTAGTTTTTACCGTCTCTGAATCTGACTGTACATATAGCTCTTCAATCCTGGGTTAGCTTCTTGGGAAATATTATTTGTTGGAATACTTTAGACTCTGTAATATCGAACACCAAATTATAACAAGACTAGAGTAGCGCAACTTGAATATAGTGGTTTTTCTTTGCCAGCTAAGATCTCTACAATGAGTATATCTGATGAACATCAATTTCCCATGGATGATGAATCCAATAAGTAAGTTTTTTTTATCTCATTCATACGTTTGACCTGCGTGTTGCACAACTTTTTTTATTTATTTATTTATTAACTATTGTGTTGGAATCAGGAAACCAAGAGTTTCATACACGAGAGAGTTTCTGTTATCCTTGAGCAATACAGATGCTTGTAAGAAGCTTCCAAACCTGCCCACTGAATTCAATGATTTACCTTACGGTCAGACTCTATTCTATATTTCATCTGAAATGTAATTTTTAGGATTTGTAATAAATCTGTTATGATCGTGTAGTCCTCCTACTATATCTGGTTTGGAGGAATATGTCTTGATCTGTACACTCTTTATTTATATATGCAGTGACTCCCAAGATCCTTCACCGGAGAGGCACAAAATTTCTGTCGATTTTGCGTCTCACGGCTTGAAGCGGAGTGACTATAGTTCATCGCCTCCCACCAGGGGTGAATTTGGTAGCAACTCTCGGGGAGGCCGTGGAAGATGGGAAGGGCGCTCAGGTGGATGGAATGATAAAGATAGTGATTCACATTCTCACCGGGACCCAGGTAACATCTTGTTCTTTAAATGCTGCATGATGACGTTACTACGAGGTGGACTAGCACTAGTATTCTTTCGCTCTTAATCTATTCTTACAATTTACTTCTTTCTGCACAAAGTGTTCGTTTCTATGATTTGACACTTTTTCCCCAAAGCGGATGGCATGAAGACTGCTTTTTTTGTCTAGTCAAAACTTGAGAAGAAGACCATAGAAAATTATTCTGGAATTTGGGTGTGATAGTTGATATTGAAATGATGTATATTTTCTTTTAGGAGAGCCTGGAAGGCGTTCTGGCATGCCATCTCGGAGGCCTTGGCAAGCACCGGAGCATGATGGACTTCTGGGGAAAGGTTCTTTCCCGAAGTCTTCTGGACCATCTGCCTCCAGACCTCAATCTAATGACGCGTGTCAGCTGAGTAGAACCAATGAACCTTACCATCCCCCTCGCCCATATAAGGTTAACTGACCACTTTTCTTTTGTGGGATAATGTTTAGTATTAGTGATTGTTGAATGCTGCTTCACCATGTTGATAAGTTCCTTAACCTTTATGTAGGCGGCACCGTTCACTCGACGTGACACGAGAGACTCATTAAATGACGAGACGTTTGGTTCTTCTGACTCTACAAGTGAAGATAAAGCGGAAGAAGAACGAAAAAGAAGAGGTACAGAGGATCTATTCACTTAAATCTGTCCAATAGTTAACTCTTTGCACATGCATTTTTTATGTCGATCTTTAATTGAAATTCCTAACTCTATGTCAGCTTCTTTTGAGTTGTTGAGGAAGGAACATCAAAAAGTATTCCAGGAGAGGCAAAAATCAAACCCAGACTTACGTAAAAACGACTTTGAATTTACGGAACTGCTTGGGGAGTCCAAAGATGAAAAAGAGCGCCCAAGTAGAAGTGACGAAGTCAACAAAAATCCGTCAATCCCTGGTTCTAGTAACCACTCTTTTCACTCTCAGAGTAACGCACCCAGACCGCTTGTACCCCCTGGTTTTGGTAGCACAGTTTTGGAAAGAAAGCAAGGGGACAAACCTCAAGTAAGTCGCTGTCTTTCTGAGATGCTCATTCAAGCTTAATATATGTGTTGCTGTTTCATGAAACTTTCATATTTGATTGCATGTTAATTTTCAAAGTTTCTTTTGTTCCATGAATGGAGGCATATACTATATTATTATACTGCTTGAATTCCAAACAATAAAATGAGTACAAGTAGTTGTATCGGCCTCGTCTTATCTAACGAAGAAGCATACTAGGAGTATAAAAAATGAGTACAAGTAGTTGTGTAGGCCTCCTCTTAGCTAATTCTTGAAATTACTACTTCATTGATATTATGTCCTATCAGAAAGCTAATACCTTCAATTACTACTTTGGCTTTATTTAATCCAAGGCTGTGGTCGCTTGATCTATCACTTTCGAAGGGGATCATTCATTTCCTGCTAATCAGTGAGAGTTGAACTTTTAATGTGGTGACCCTTTTCGTTTTGGTTTATCTTTTCTGTGTAAATGTTTTGTTGGATGTATTCGCTGATTGGTACTTCAATTTACAAAACAATTTATAAGTCCATCCCCTATCTTTGGTCGCACCTTTTAGTTACTGATTATTAAGCTCTTTGCAGGCCGAAACTTCTCAACATGAACGTAGTCCTTTGAATCCCAAAGGCATTGATATGGTATATGGAACGTCTGTTACGAATGAAGAAAAACCCTCGGTATTTAAGATAGGCTCCAGTGAGATGCTGGTAGAAGATGAAGCTGTCCGTGTCAATTCCACTGACACAAGTGAGCAGGCTGTTAATTTGTCTTCATTTCTAGGAAAAATTGAGCAAGCTTCAGTGAAGGACCAGAAGAAAAGCTTGATGATTTCGGATGAGCCATCAATTCTGGATAAGATATTCAACACCGCTATAAATTTGAATAGTGGTGACTCTAATATTCCTCAGGTGACTTTTTTTCCTATCTATTTCAATTAACTCATTTTCCCTTTGAAACTTAAAATCTAGCTCCTGCATTTATGCTATCCTTATGATCCTGTATTTGATGTGCACTTCATCTTGGTTCGATGCATAATTATTTCGGATTTAGTCTTCATTATACAGTCGTAACTCGTACCGAGGCGTTTCCTATATGATGTATTGATCTTGAGGATGATAGATAAACAGGTTGTCTGCTCTATTAGTAACCAAATAATGGTCCATGTGTTATATATAAACAAAATCGAGTGCTTTTTACTCAGGAAATGACATGCATGTTCATGTACTTGCATATTATGTGGAATTTGAATAATCTCATTTGACCTGACAAATGTCCACATCTTTGTAGAAAATTGTTGAAAGAGTAGAAGAGACACGGAGCCCTGAGACTTTTAAATCGTCAAAGTTCGCACATCTATTTCTTGAAGACGGTAATCCACTGAATGATATGCGGGAAAAGTGACATTTTTCCGTACAAAAGACAATAATGCAACATCTTTTTTTAATCGGTGCAGATAACAAGCCAGTCGAAGATCTCCCATCCAGCAGGCCACCAGGAGGCTTACTGTCACTACTTCAAGGTGCGGATAAGTTGCAAACCTTTGACACAAAAGCTAAGGGTGAGCTTTCGATGGATTTTCCTTATCAAGGCCATGCCACTAAAAGTACTGATAAGCTAAGCAACACTTCCGCAAGGAAATCAGTAACAGCTGCTCCACCTGTTCTCACTTGTGAAGACCTTGAGCAGTCTATTCTGTCAGAAGTCAGTGAAAGTTATCATCCTCCTCAACCGCCAGTTGACCAAGAGCTTAGTGTTTCTTCTGTGAAGAAAACCAATCAACGGAAAACAACTGTTGATAACCAAGCTTCGCAGCACCTTCTTTCTTTGTTACAGAGAAGTGCAAACCCAACAAGTCAAGATACGCTGCTGCTTCCAGTTACAGAGAGTAGACCACTACCATCTGTGAAACCACCTACAGCTGGAGAAGTAGATCCGGGGAAGTCTTTGACTCTTGAGAATCTATTTGGGAGTGCCTTCATGAACGAACTGCAGTCAATTGGAGAACCTGTCTCTGGAAGAGCTGTGGTTTCTGATGCCCCTGCGGCCCCACTTCGATCAGAGAGGTCTATCGGTGAACTGAGCCAAAGAAATCGAATGAGACCTGACGGTTTCCCCGGAGGGCTACTTGGCTTTCCTGAAGATAGTAATTTACTTGCAAACCCACAAAAATACATGTCTTCTCCAGGACCTCGTAATCAGGAGCCTGAAGTCACATTCAACATCTCTGACAAGCTAGCTGCTTTAAACTCTGGTCCAAGGAATGAAAGACCAATAATGGGAAGTCAAGATGGTCCCTTTCTTCACCATCAATATGCAACCGACCCCTCTTCTCACTTCAATGGTTCCAGCCCAGTCTTCCATTCTCATGTTAAACCTCAGCTCGATTTCATGGGCCAAGGAAGCACCATAGCTCAACATCAGGATCGTCCACCAAATCACCGGTTTCCACCAAGCATGATTCATCGCCCACCTTTTCATCATTCAGCAACAGGTGGACTTCCCGAGTTTGATCGTCTTCCTCCACATATGATGCAGAAAATGCATATGCAAGATAACCTGCAAAACCATCATCTAATGCAAGGATTCCCAGGTGGTGGTCACTCTCCTAACGTGAACAACCAAATGCCGGGTCTCATCCCCGAGTTAAATCCATCTCAAGGCTTTCCCTGCGCCCATCGCCAGCCCAGCTACGGTATGCCACCACCAGGTATTACAAAAGATAACCAAATCCATTTGCTACTTTGCCAATTAAAGATTTAACTTTCGCTCATTTTTGCCTGGGACAAATTCTTCTGTGGCGAGTCTGCCTTAATATCGAACTATGAAGGGACTAGTTGATTTTTTATTTGGTCTCTCAAAACACTTTTTTTTTTCATTTTGTGGCTTTGCAGGTTCGCAAGGAAACAGAGCTGATCATCCAGCTTCGCTGAATACACTCTTAGGGATTCACAAGAGGATGGACACATCGAACCAGTCTCCAGCCGATGGTCCTAATCGTCAGGGCTCAATGGGTCAGGAACTCGACCTTGGATTTGGCTACAGGTAACTCTGCTCTGCCCACAGTCCTCTTGACAACCCTAAGAGGTGTGTCTGCCTATCACTAAGTTGCTTTGTGATGTGCAAGTTGTCAAATTATGATTTAAAAAAAAAAAGCTCTCCGAACTCTTGTATCTCGTGCTGCATGTAACGTGGACGCTTTTAGTTAACAATGTGGTTTCGAGTCCGTGTGGTTGGCATTATCAATTTTAGGTTTCTGTTCTTCTTATAACCCGTTGTTCAAATATCAGTGAGTTGTGTCAAATAAGTGCGACTCTTTGGTTTTTCTTTTCAGATCAGTTTCGTAATTCAGTTTTCATTTTACTGTTTCGAACAAAAGCTAAGAGGCAAAATTATATAATACGTATGCTTAAAACCTCGTTTTAAACTACGACAAAAAAGTAAGCTCGAATGAACAAATGATTATTCATTCTAAAATAATTTGTTGAGCCCTAACACGCTGACTTAAAACAACCTGAAGCATGACCATATGTTCAATTTTTCAAAAATATAATCCATATTTTACAAAATTCAGTTTATACACAATCTATTCATTTTGTGCAAATACGTTATTGTCGTTAACTTTTAAACGCCCGTTACAGTAAATTAGTCAGCTTTTCTTTTATTTTATAACCGAGTATGTTAAAATGATATCATTTTGGTGATCACGTAAAAAAATATATTTTGTATTTGTGGACAATCGAACCCTGACACTAAATCGGAATTACACTACATTCGATTGAAGATTCTAGTAACCTTTGACTCCTCAACAACCAAAGTGTCCTTGTTTGGTCATCTTTCAATCATCCGACAGACACGATAATGCAATCGCATTACATACAGACCCGTTGAGGTTCTATGATAGGTTCAGACAATCAAGACAAGATGATTTTGTTCAGTTATAGTTACTAGATGTGAGCCCCGCGCAAGTGTGAAGTTTTTGACTTTTCTTTTACCGTAACTTGCCAAGGAATTACTGTAGTTTGTGGATTTGTTATTGAAACTGTGCAGTAGGTGTGACTATAATTGTATACTAGGTAATAATCTACGCTTTGCGCAGAATGTGATTACTAGTTTGATTATTTTTAGTAAATATATATTAAATCTGTTTAATCTTAATATATGTTCGGTTTTAGGTTTTGTTTTTGTTTTTGTTTTTGTTTTTGTTTTTAATCTCCTAAAATATAATTATCATTTTAAATCAAGATTTATTTTGGTTTTTTTCTGTTAATTTTTTGATTTTTTTTGGTTTTCTTTGGTGATAACCAAAAATTACTATTATTTTTTTGGTTTTCATGTGATGAATTTTGGATAGTCGTAATGTCAAACTAATGGTTTCATATTATATTTCTAAACGGATAATAGTTACAGAAAAAAATTATTAAGACAAATCATTTCACTATAATTTGGTCGGTAATAAAAGAAGCATTAAGAAATATAATATCTCAACTTCGATAAAACATAGATACTTCAGTTGTGGTGAATACTTAGTTATAAGGTGCTCACATAAAGGTGCACATGTATATGTATGTAAAAAGATAAAAGTGATTGATATATATATATATATATATATATATAATGTTAATTAATATTAAATAACATTTTTGTTCAAAATAACACATGAAAGATAAAAATATTAAATAAAATCAATTAAAAATAAAATAAACCTAGACATTAGTGAATTTTTTTATAAAAAGAAAATAAAATTGTATCCATAAATATGGGTGGGCAGGGATCGAATATCCGAGTATTTGGAGGCACTCATGTCAATTCGATCTTTAGTCACCTGGATATTCTGTGATTCGGAAATCCAATTTTCTTAGAATTTTAAAGAATAACCGAATTGATCTGTAAATAAAATAAAATTTTAAAAATAAATAAAAAATCGAATAATAATATTTTATTACAAGAATAAACATTAATTATTTTTTAAAAAAAATTCTACACCTAATATAATAAATTTAATACATAAAATATTGTAAAACTCATATAAACTAATATATATATATACATATATATATATATATAATTCTGTACAAATATGTATATATATGCATATAACAGAACAAATTTGATATTCGTTCTAAAAATTATTGGTCTTTGTGATTTGCTTTCTTTTTCGGTTATTGTATTTTAGTATTTGCTTTGCTTCCTATAATTACGGATATCCATATTTGTTTGCTTCCTATAATTACAAGTAATTTATTTAATTTTAAATATAAGGGTAGCAAATATAAAAATTTAAAATAATTACATTCATGAAAAAATATTTTTAATAATTTATCAGGTCTTTGATTTCTAATTAAAGAACAAAAATAAATATTCTATATTAACATTAGTTTGTTTTAGAATAAACTGAATATGTTTACACATATATTTTTAATTATTTTCACTTGCTTATCTGTCCGTAGGGCGGGTTTACCCTAGTATATATATATATATATATATATATATATATATATATATATATATATATATATATATATATATATATATATATATATATAATTTAGTTTTTGATTCGTAATCCGTTTTGATTCGAAATGAAAAAACCAGAGTTTTAATGGGCCATGCATGTGAATTTTAAATTGAAAAAAAATAAATATGTAGTGTGAACACATTTATGAATATAGTGTGAACGTGTAATCATATGTATTATCAAATCTTTGTAAGGCTGCCACGTGTTCATTATAGTGTGTATACATTTTTAGAGTGCTTCTCCTTTAATATATAAGGGATTATGTGTTTCAGATCCGAAATAAATTGATCCGTACCCGATCCTAATGCCCTAACCTATTCTCTTATTAATTTTTGTGAACATTTTATAAGAGCTATATTTATTGAGTTGGCAAGACTTAAGATTTATTTAGCAGATTCTTTTGGCTAATTTAATAGTATAGATTTGTAAGATTTTTAATAATTTTTAAATTAATTTTAAATAACAATTTTTATTATAATTTTTTTTCTAGAGAATAACTTGATGTACAATATCTAATTTTGTTTTTAACAGTTGGTTACTAATGTGTTTTTATTAAATTTGATTTTGTAAAATATTTGGAACTATATAATGTAAGTGACATTATATATATGACGTATGATATATGTTAACTTTTAAATAAGTTTCAAAATATATTAATTGGTTTAGAAGTCGATGGCATAGGAATGATATATTGTTTTGGTTTGTGGGTTAGTCGACCAAAAAGTTGTATTGTTAGTAAATTTTCTAAAGTAAGATTACATAAATATTTGATAAATAATATGGCTAACTCACGAAAAGAAAGGAGTAAATGTAGGTTATATATGGTGTAGTGTTATATATTAACATTTTGTTACAAACATAAGACCAAAAAAAGGTAAATGTAGTGAAAGAGTCCAAACAACCTTTCAAAAGTAGATTTTTTAGGACTCTTTCTTTTTTAATAGTATTGATTACGGTTAGTTTATTGTTTTGGTGTTGTGTTTTGGGTGTGAGCTATTTGAAAGTTCATTCCAGAGTTACTAATTAAAAAAATTGCATCTAATATAAATTTTTAAATAGAAAATTTTTAAATGTCTTTATTTTGAATGTGTTTTTATTTTTAGGGTATAATCTTCTTTTTTGAAACTCACGTAGTATAAAAAATCATGTTTACATGACTGACGTTTATGCGTTGTTGACGTTAAATTTTACTGATTTATAAAGGCTATGAGTGGTATTTAATAGAATAAAAAAGTGGAATGAAGAAGAAGGAGAAAACCAAAATCTAGAGTAAAACTTTTCTTTTTGTCTGTTGTAGAGTAATAGATTCCACCACCTTTGTCACTCTTTGAAATAAATGAGATAGAAATATATTTTACTTGATTTGTGGAACTTTGAGTAACACAACAAAATTTTTCTTTTATCCCATTATATTATTGCCAACAATGCCATTTAGTTACACTCAAAGTTGGGGACATTGTTAAATAAGTAAAAAGACACGTCAACGCCCCCTTTATTATTCAAAGTCACAGTAAATCTTACACCACTAAGAAATAGTTTACAAGAAATTAGAGAGATAAATAAAGTTTAAAGTAGAGAAAACATGTGGAAATAGACAATTGAAATATAACCAAAATTAAGTGGGGTGGACGGTTAGATGGTCTTGTAAGAATCACTCATAGGGACGTTTGTGTTTGTTCTGCAAGTTCCAGAAGCGGATGAGACAATACACTAGCATTGGAGGCTTCATCTTTGAAGTTTGGTTGAAATCTGCGACAGTTCAATTTAGGGATGATTTAATAAGAGATACACTTGTTTAAGGAACTATATATATCGAGGCTATGATCTGTGATGGTTAAAGAACGGAATAACAGGAAAGGGATCAGCTATATTCACAACTCGATAAGAGAACTTACATTTTTCACAGAAGCTTAGGAAACATTTTGCTTGTCAAAGAAGCATCTTCATCACTTATATCCATAAGAGATATTTTAGTTCAGGAGGAAGTTCCCCAACAGAACGTGTTTTTAACGGTAATCCTTCCATTTGCTTCTCAAATGCATCCCTGAATTTTGTTAAACTGATACAAACATTTAGATTGACATGACAACATCTCAATAATTTATTTAGCTGATAATATACTCATTTGGTTTCAAAACTGCAACTGCACCACTTTCCACCAGCGAAGACTTGGGGGGGGGGGGGGGTACCAGTAGGTGGTTTGATCATCTTAAAATCATAGTTAGGCTCTCCATTTATGGGGCAATGCTGAATAAACTTTCCTGAGTAACAAAAAAATTGACGCGCTTAGAACAAAGATTTTTTGCCAAAGAATAACCATACACACTTGAGAGAATAATAGAACCATAATAAACAAAAATAACAAAATATTCTACAAATATAACATATCAGAAACATTGCAACGATGACAAATATAGCCTGGTGGTGGCGTTTTCCTTTCCATTCCTGCTCAACAAAAATAAATTCAGTCTCAGTATCTTACATTTTACTGAAATATTAATTTTTTTGACAATGATGATGAAATTTCCACT